ATCATCAGTAGTTACACAGCAAATGCAGGGTTCAACCTAAACACAACGCTATTTATCACGAATGTCCGTGTAAGCTTCGTGGAGAGGGGCCGCAGTTTTTGTTGCACACGGATGTGTCCCTGCGAAGAAACCACGATTCTAGAAGCTTTCGGGGCCCCCATCTGTCCTCTCTCGCCAAGGTCGTCGCGGCCGGAAAGTCGAAAGAATGCCCCATTGTCCACGCATGGTCCACCAGTTCAGTCTTCAGTCGCGTCGCGTGGGATGCGTACGTGACGTCACGCTTGTGTTCTTTGAGTCTGGTATCTCTCCTCCGTACGGTTTCACCAATGTAGGACGCTGGGCAGTCACTGCAGGGGATCTTGTAGATAACGCCTCTTTGGACGTTCGCCGGGGTTGGGTCCTTTGGTTTGGAAACGGAATTTCCAATAGTTCTGTATGGCTTGAAAACAGTTCGGATGCCAAGGGGCCTCAAAGCTTCGACTGCAAGAATTTGGCGTAACCATTGTGCATAAGTCCGGTCGCAAGCATAATGACGCTGACTGTCTGCCTAGGGCTCCAGTCGAACCTCCCATTGCCGGCGCCGACGACGATGACGACAAATGCTTCCTAGGTGCCGTAGACACCGACGACATGGCAAGACTCCAACGAAACGATCCTGAGCTGCGCGTTCTGATTCAGCATCTAGATGAACGAGGCAGTACCGTTCCTCGTGTCTTTTCACGGGCCCTGCCGACCTTCACTATTCGACAAGGTCTACTTTATAACAAGAATTTCGGAACAAGTAATTCGCCGTGGCTTCTGGTAGTCCCTACCAGCCTTCGAGAAGAGATTTTCCAAGGCTGCCACGACGACCCGACTTCAGGACACCTCGGTTACAGCCGGAATTCGTCTGTAACCGAATTCCGAATTCGTGAAAAAGACTACTGGCTCAAACTTCCGAAGACCGTTCACCTCTACACACGATCGTGCCACGAGTCCCAGCGACGCAAGAAACCGCCGTCAAAGCCAGGAGGTCTCCTTCAGCCGATTACCCCGCCAACCAAGCCCTTCCAGCAAATCGGAATGGATTTGCTGGGCCCTTTTTCACCATCGACGATGGGGAACCGCTGGATAATCGTCGCAATAGATTATCTTACTCGTTACGCCGAGACGAAAGCCCTTCCGTCGGGGACTGCTGTCGAAGTCGCCAAGCTCTTCATTGAGTCCATCAGCCTCCGGCATGGCGCCCCCGAAGTTTTGATCACAGACCGAGGGTCATATTTCATGGCACAGTCGACCCAAGAGATCCTTCGTCTAAGCCACACGGACCACCGTCGAACAACTGCATACCATCCGCAGACCAACGGGTTGACAGAGCGGCTCAACAAAACAATCACCGACATGGTCTCTATGTACGTCGACGTGGAGCACAAGACCTGGGACGAAGTGCTGCCCTACGTCACGTTTGCCTACAACACAGCAGTGCAAGAGACCACAAGAGTGACGCCTTTCCAGCTAGTCTATGGCCGGACGGTGACGACTATGCTAGACTCCATGTTGCCGCACGAGCCAGTCGACAACGGGAGCGATGACGCCCGGCAGAAGAGGTCCGCCAGCTGGCCAGACTACGAATTCAAGACCAGCAACATGTCGATGCCGGCCGCTACAATCTTCGCAGGCGTGACGCCCACTTTCAACCCGGAGACCGGGTATGGGTGTGGACACCGATACGGGCGCCGCTGTCTCAGCGAGAAGCTTCTCAAGCGCTACTTTGGTCCCTACAAGGTTCTTCGCCGTCTCGGGGACCTAAACTACGAGGTGCTTCCCGATGGAACTCGACTATCAAGACGACGTCAAGCGCGACCCGAAGTAGTCCACGTCGTGCGCCTCAAGCCGTATTACAAACGATAGAACTTTGGAATCTCGTTAAACTGTGAACTGTGGCTCGCGATTCTGCTGTCCCTTTGTTTGTGTTTTCGGTTTGTGCTGCATCGGGACGATGCGCTTTTAAAGGGGGAGATAATGCCGCGCAGGTTCATAAACTTCTAGGAGGTTCTCTTTTATTCTTGCTCCGGACATAACTTCTATCATGTATTCCTGCTTTTGTTGTTCTGGAAAGTGCGTGTTCAGTCTCGCCCCAGCGCTCGATCCTGCATGCGGCTTCGCCGACATCGACGCCTGCGACGCTCTGCTGTTTTCTTCTCTTTCCTTTTTGTTTTGGGCACAAGTTCGCCCCATTAAACGTTTAGTTTATACAGTTATCATCGCCTCATCAATTGTCATTCGCGACAATATATATACTTACTTATCTTACTTGATTCGTACGGTTCATACATACATATGGTTCATGAAGCAGCGTTGACTCCGGCTACCCCGGGGGTACTATGTAGCATATGAGGACTTCAACGAACATCAAGGAAGCTCGGAGAAGGGATCGCTCAAGAGTTCGTTTGTTCACGCGTGCATATCGGAGCTTGCGTTAACAAAAGAAAGCATTCTACGCACTCTACCTATGGGAGGCATAGCCACCTGCCCTACTAGTTAAGTTAGGCATTTTGATGGTGACGCGCAGTTCAAACAAGCTCCATCATCCAACGTCTCTTTTCTAAGATAGACGTCGCATTTGATTTGTGGTAATTGCAATTAGCGCATCCGCCCAACTAAACTGATGAATCTTTCGAAAACAAAACTAACCTAGGAAACGCTACGTGAGCATGCAGGATTCCAGATTTTGTGTATTAGAACGATCTTTAATCACCATGCAATTAATACGGACATTTTTTTCCAAGAAAAGAAAAGAGGAATGAAAGTGCTAATTTTAATTGTGCCTTATTGTTTACTGTAAAACCGTCTATTTTCGCGGCGGTCCCAATTTTTCGCGGATCAGGCAAAGGAACATGTAGCGCTTTCGTTGTCGGAGGCGGAAAAGATGGTGTTACCGACTCCGAGCTTATAGGTGAAAACGTTCTGTTGAATCCACGTGCCGTTCAGCTCGCGCCATGGAGTTGATTGTTGCGATGCTTTCAAGGACAATGTCCATAAAACTCCCGCAGCTCGGGTGCCAAAGCAGCCACAGTTTGAACGGCCACGAGCGGTCTCGGATGAACCATGTGCGTCAGCTTGTCCTCAAAGCTGGACACTTCCATGGCAAACAGAGGTGCTACCAAGTTCTCTTTAAACGGCTGAAGAGCCTGAGCCACCGCCGCGTCGTACACACTCAGAAGTAAATGAGCCAAATGAGCAAAAAAGGGTTCTTTTCGCTAAAAAAGACCCGATTTTGGGGAGGATCCCTATGAAGCGTGCTTTCTCAAGCAGAAGCATCACTTGCAAAATAAATTTAAAAAAAATGAAAGCTGTTAACAAATCCCTGTAACGCCGAATTGGAGCGCAGCTCTTGAGGAGGAGTAGGGAAGGGTACTGAGGGGGGTCACGTCACCTGCGTGTAGTCACGTGACCCCGGGTGGTCACGTGATCTCGGGGGGGGGGGGGGGGGGGGGTCACGTGACCTTGGGGGATCACGTGACTTTGGGGGGTCACGTGATCTCGGGGGGGGGGGGGGGGGGGGTCACGTGACCTGGGGTGGCCTTTGGGGGTCACGTGGGGGTCACTTTGGGGGTCACGCGACCTTGAGAGGGGTCACGTGACCTCGGGGAGTCACGTGACCCCGAAGTCACGTGACCTTCAGGGGGTCACGTGACCTTGAGGTGACCTTGGAAGGGGTCACGTGACCTCGGGGGGTCACGTGACCTTGGGGATCCCGTGACCTTGAGATGACCTTGGTTACGCCGACGGCGACGCCGCTCAAGCCGTAAACGGGCCCCTAAGAGCTGCGCTCTAAAAGAAACGGAGGGCTAGTTTCTGGCCTAGAAAGAGCAAAAAGGGTGCTTGTTGCAGCCAGGAAAGAGAGGAACCGATCTTTGGAAAACAAAGGTCACTTAATACCGGATAGAGAGACACAATGACTAGGCTCGAAAGGCTTTGCACGCGAGAAACTGGGTGTGCTCCTCGGTGTAAAGAAAGCTGCCCGTGTGAGCTGTCAAGTCCTTGAAAGCTTAGAGGGGTGGAATGTCGTAGTTATTTACCAAGTCGCGTGCAATTTGATGGCGAGATAATCTTCGCCTCCGACCACAGATGAAACAGGCTTCAATGCATTTGACTCCCGGGCCACCTGCTTCAGCGGTCTGAACGCTGGCGTTCGTTTGCAAACGTAACTGCTCGCCGAGTTTTATTTAGTAAGAAATGTTAGTATTGGGCTAATTTTTGGTACTCGATTTTTATATACCAGACGGGTCATTGAATTAAAGTTTATTTGAGTAAATCTGTGCCTACGGAAATCAAGCGTGTACTTTATTTCCCCCAGAAAAAGACTGCATACAAATTTGCAAAGCCGCGAAAATTCAACGAATGAACAACACACACAAAAAAAAGTGCGTGTCGTGCTGAATGAGTGATACGGTGATTACGCGTCGTCGTGTTTTTTTAGTAACGAGAGCTATTTTTTAACTTGCTTTCGTGTTTAAACACTATAAGTATAACTGCGCGTACAGATGAAAAATGAATAGAACAGAGGAACGTCTTTTTGTTTACAATAAAGTGCAGTTGTCCTAGCTTGTGGTCATGACACCGCCCGTCTCCCAGTACGGCTCCTCTGATTGGTTCGCGGCACGCGTCAAGCCGCAAAAATAGAGTTGGGACCCATCCGCGTGTGGCGTCAAAAATCCTGCTGCGCGAAAGGTTCGTCCGGTCTGTTGCAGTCATCTTTATTTTCAGAACCAAATAAGCCTGTAAATGGGTTTTGATTTTTATTTCAAGGAGCAGTTCTGTGCAGAAGGATACCCGGAAATAATCTTATAGGCGTATTGTATAAGTGCGTTTTGAGTGAAGCAAAACTAAACTTCGATCTATTCTGCGTTAA